CCGGCTAAGTTTTTGTATTTTTAGCAGAGGCAGGGTTTCACCGTGTTAGCCAGGATGGTCTCGATCTCCTGACCTCATGATCCGCCTGCCTCGGCCTCCCAAAGTGCTGGGATTACAGGCGTGAGCCAATGTGCCCAGCCTAGAATGGAAAATTTTATATACACGCACACACATGGCCACACACACACATATTTGTATGTATATGATACTGTGATATAATAAATACAGAATTGATACTGGAACAACACAGGGTTGAACTCTGAGAGTCTCCTTAGATGTGGATTCTTCTGCCTCTGCTACCCCTGAGATGGCAAGACCAACCCCTCCTCTTCCACTTCCTCCTCAGCCTATTCAATGTAAAGACAATGAGGATGAGGACCTCTATGAAGGTGATTTCCACTTAATGAATAGTAAGTGTACTTCCTGGTTCTTACGATTTTCTTAATATTTTCTGTAGATTTCTCTAGAATATTGTAAGAATATAGTATATAGTACTTATAGTGTACAAAATAAGTATTAATTGGCTGTTTGTAAAGTTTTTGAGTAGTCAAAAGTTATATGTGGATTTTAGACTGTGCAGGGGTTAGCACTTCTAACCCACATATCGTTCAAGGGTAAACTGTAAATTTTGGTCTTTTTGTCCACGTCCTGGCACAGAGCTCCTAAAACGCTTGTAATTTTCTAAGTGATAAGAGCAATAGGAGCAACTTGTATTGTAATATTTGGTTTTTTGTCCTTGGTTCATGAAGCATTTGCATGTCTTACAACAAATCCTTCAACCATGCCTGAGTTTATATTAGTGAGGTGATTTTTGCAAAGCCTTTAAATAACCACAGAATAAGGGCTGGTTGCCAAGGGAATCAACCATGTGATTAGAAGGTTAGAACTTTCAGCCCTGCCTCTCGACCTCTGGGGAAGGGAGGACTGGAGGCTGAATTAATCACCAGTGGCCAATCATTTATTAATAATCAATCGTGTCTATGCAATGAATCCGCCATTAAAAATGACTAATTAAAAGGGTTTTTGGAGCTACTGCGTGGTGACCAAGAACACATCTGTGTGCTGGAAGGGTGGTGCGTTCCAAACTCCACAAGGACAGAAACTCCTGTGCTCAGGACCCTTGCAGACCTTGCCCTATGCACCCCTTCATCTGGCTGTGCATCTGTGTCCTTTCATATATCCTTTGCAATAAATCCGTAATCGTAAGCAAATTATCTCCTCAGTTTTGTGAGCTGTTCTAGCAAATTATTGAACTTGAGGAGGGGAATGTGGGAATTTCCAATTTGGACCTAAGTTGTGCATAATCTGAGGACCCACAATTTGTGATTGGCATCTGCAGTTGGGGGGCAGTCTTGTGGGACTAAGCCCTTTGTCTGTGGGATCTGAACTAACTCTAGACAATTAGTGTCAGAATTGAGTTAAATTTTAGAGCAGTCAGTGTGCACTGGGGAATTGGATAATTTGTTGGTGTGGAAAACCCCACATATTTCGTGTCAGAAGTGTTGTGTGTGAGACAGTATAGTAGAAAAAACAGTGATTTTTTTCCTTTATAATTAATGATAAAAATTGTATCACAAGTGAATGGAGAAAGGATAGACTTTGTAGTCAATGGTGTTAAAAAATCTGACTCATTCTATGGAGAAAAATAATACTGGATCTTTACTTAAGGCAATATTACAAAGGTGGCTTCACATAGGTTAAAGATCTGAATATAAAAACAATAACAAATCAAAACAATGTCCCCAGAGACCCTCACTGAGGATACTTCAGAGAGGCAGGAGAACTACAAATGCACAGTCACAGGAGCTAAAAGAGGAGAGTTTTAAGAAGGGGACTGATGTGGTTTGGCTGTGTCCCCACCCACATTTCATCTTCAATTCCCACGTGTTGTGGGAGGGACTGGTGGGAGGTAACTGAATCATGGGGGCAGGTTTTTCCTGTGCTGTTCTCGTGATAGGAAGTCTCACGAGATCTGATGGTTATTATAAGGGAGAGTTTTCCTGCACAATCTCTCTTCTCTTGTCTGTCACCATGTGAGAAGTGCCTTTCACCTTCTGCCATGATTGTGAGGCTTCTCCAGCCACGTGGAATTGTAAGTCCAATAAACCCCTTTCTTTCGTAAATTGCCCAGTCTTGGGTATATCCTTACCAGCAGTGTGAAAACAGACTAATACAGGGGCATTACCTGTTAAAAGAATTTTAGTGAGTACACGACCTAATGAGGAACTGACAAATTGAGCTATTAGGACATCATGTTTGACTGCTTCAGAACATAGCGAGGCACCGTTTACCACAGATATACCTAAAGGATTATCTGCAGCATATCATGAAGTTTAAAATCCATAAATTGATCTCCACATTCATTCATAGCACTTGCTCTGTAATCCTGTCTTCCTGCAGGTCAGCGCAGGCCCTGAGTGGTGGATGCTGTTGTCACCTAGACTGACCCCTGGGTACTCAGGCTTAACAATGATTTGAATTCCTAGAAGTTTATTTGGATTGTATTAGTTTCCCATTGCTGCTATAATAAATTATTGCAAACTTAGTGTTTTAAAACAATACACACTTGGTGGCTGAAAACAACACCCCCTTAAAGTTCTGGAGGCCAGACATCCAAAAGGAGTCTTATAGGGCTTAAATCAAGGTGTCGGCAGGGCTGGTTTCTGAAGGCTGTGAGGGGAGAACCTATTTCCTTGACGTTGTCAGCTTCTAATGGCCTCCTAGTTTTTTGCTTATGGCCTGCTCCTCCATCTTCAAAGCACATGACTCCCATCTCTGCTTCCATCATCACATCATCTTTTCCTCTTCTGCGTCATATCTCCCTTTACTTGCATCATACAAGGACATTTTGATTGCACTTAGGGCCCCCCAGATAATGCAAGGTAACCTCCCCTTCTCAAGATCCTTAATCACATTTTCCAAGTCCCTTTTGCCATATAAGGTAACATTCACAGGTTCCAGAGATTAGGATGTAGAAATATTTGGGGGTCCATTATTTAGCCTACCACAGGGATAGAAATCAGAAACCAGGAGAAGACAAAAGAGTAAGCATAGCTCATGGAGGATTTTGCTTCAATGTTCATGGTTTTAGGGATCTAGTGGTGGAGGTTGGGTGTGGGGAGCCCCTTCATTGCAGCGAGGACACAGCCCCTGGGGCGCTCTCTGGGATCTTAGGCCAATGTGGAATTTGGTGTGGGAAATAACACAGTTCATGCTGGTTGGTCTTGATTCTGGATCTTGATCAGATGATCCTCTGCAAGTTCCTAAGCTCCATTAGAAGATGTTACAGAAGTTTCTGTCACAGCACAGTGTCACTCTCAACAGGCCTCTTTTGGAGTACTCCTCTTCCTGGCACTTATACTTACACATATGTGTTGAGTACATATGTTTGTTTCCTAAAAATGAAGAAGCCTGTTATAAGTGCTGGAGGAGATTGCCTTAATAGTGATGTACTAAAACTCACCACCTAGAAGAATAGCACTTAACACTGGGTCTCCTTCCTTGGCTGCTGGGTTCATGTTCCCAATCGCCACTGTGACTGGCTCTGGATACCAAACCCTACACAGTGCGAAGTTGAAAATTATCCCTTCTTGCCCCCTCTTTTATTCCTTGCCTTACCTCCTAGCAGGACTAAATGATATTGAGTTCTGTATTCCAGGCACTAACAAGAGTGATGGTTCTTTGCAGGCATTTTTGGAGTCTTCATGAGCCCCACTTACCCCTGAAATAGGCTGTTGTTGAACATAACTCATTTTCTTTTGCAATGCAAGTGCCTCGGCCTGCCATACACTTCCATCCTTCTGTGTATATGCAGGTATTACACTTCAGACCCATAACTGCAGGGTGGAGAGAATAGAATATTCAGGCTGGATCATGGGACAATGGGAAAGTGAGTTTTCAGCATCAGTGAGAGGTTGCATATTGACTATACTGTCCACTCACTCCATTAGCTGATATTTGTGGAATTCCTGATTAATGTAGCTTTGTAAGTTAAGCTAGGAGGTGGATAAAAAAGATAAGACACAGTCTCTGTGACCTGAATAGGGTCCATTTATATTTGAAGGCAAGATAAACATGTGAAATAATAAAAGAACAGCAAGGATAATATATAATCAACCAGATAAATCCTGTGGTGCAGATTAAGAGTATAGCAACAGGTAGATTACTGTGGGCTGGAAAAATAGGGGAATACTTTAGCTAAAGACTTGAGCGGGCTCTTGAGATGTAGGTTAAACTTGGGTAGGTGGGGGCAGGGGATGGGCAGAGAAGGTGTTCCAGATAGGTAGTCATAATGAGGGAGAACACAGAGATAGGAATGAAAATGGCATGTTTAGAGTGGACTGACTGAGATTACACCCTCTGATAGCTCCATCTGGCTTGGTCTGGCCTTTCTCTTTTTTTCAGGGAATAACCGCAACCAGGCAGAGAGAGAGCTGATCTGGGAGTCCCTGTGACCAGGAAGTAAGAGGAGAGGAGATGCAGGGTAGGGAGATGACATTGGAACCTATGGGTAATTTAGATTTAAGAACTAAGTGATAGTGATAATGGGGAAAGAAAGTAGAGTATTTCAATCTTCATCTCAGACGTTCCAAGGTTATAGAATCAGAACTTATATGGAGCCCAGGAGAACTTGAGTGCTATTGATTTATGTCCAATTTTGGGAATGGTCTTGTGGCATCTCTTCATTCTGAATTCCATTCTCACTATTCCATCAAGACTATCTTTTTGCTAACAACCTCTTAATGATAAATCCAATTGCCTCTGCGTAACCCTAAAGTTTATTCATTTTCCCTTCACTCAACAATGTTGAATTAAAGTGGTAAGTGTGAACATCCTTCTCTTTTCCTCTTATTTAGAGGGAAAGGATGATGTTAGTTGCTGATTTTTGAGCACTTTCCACATTTTGGACATTTTTTAGGTGCTGGTAATGCAAAGATAAACAAGTGTTTACATACATGCTGGAGACACAGGCATTAAACAATCCCTCCAAATAAGTACAATTGTATTGTAATATCAAGAAATAGTTAAACATGCAATGAGAGCATTTAAGAGGGAAGAACTAACGTGTTTTAGAGAGCCAAGAAAGGTTTCTGTGGGGAGTGGGCTGTAAGGTGAGGCCTGATGATAAGTAAGAGTCAGCCATGTAAGCGGGTAGTGTGGTGTGGGCAGAGTGAAGAACATTTCAGGCAGAGGGAATAGCAATGAAAAGAAGCTTGTCTGCTGAGGAACAAAAATGCCAAGGTAACTGGGGCACAGAATGGAGTGGGTTGTGCTATGAGACACGGCTGGGCAGGTGAGCAGAGATTCAACTTCCTGAGCCCTCCTAGGCCAAAGACATGAGTATGGTTTTTGATCCATGAGCAATGGGAATTTATTGAAAATTTTAAGCAAGGAAGTAATCTGATCCTATTTACATTTATCTAGCAGGTCAATATGGGACTTAAAAGGGGCAAACAGAAAACAATTTTATTCTTCTGCCCACTACCCATTTGAGTATTCTTTCTAAAGCTAGTTCTCCTAGTCCTGCAGGTAATTTCAGGCAAGGCTGCTAACTTGTCTATGTACTTTTAGAAAAAAAAAAAGTCTTGCCATCACGTTTGGGCATAAGAATAATTTGGGTTCAGTAATTTATGCATCGAGTCCCATGCAATAATAATAAAACGGCTCTATTTCATTAAAAGCCCACGTTCCTCACCAGCAACCCACTCTCCCTGCATGCATGCCCATGCACACCCACCCACACGCACACACGTATGCACAGACACATAGCTCAGGCTTGCTTAGGTGTTTGTAATGGGCAGGAGAGGGTGGCTTTGACTTTTTCTCTATTTCTCTTCTTGGTTTTCTCCTACTCACCTCTGGCTTATGAGTGATAGCTTCTGACCCATTTCAGGTGGTGAGAGGGAGGGGGACAGGTAAAGGACAGGAAAGATTTCATCGGACTGGCTCTGGTGCCATCGTCTTTTGTCCATGGTAGTTACTTAAAACCCAGTCTCTTGGACTTTGTGTTTAATAAAAGCTGACTCATTTTCTTGAGCCAGGAGAACTCATTTTCTTGAGTTCCTTGAGTCAGGGAAACATTTGTGGGTTCTTCAGGATTTCCCCAACAAAAATATTCAAGTCCACTGCTGTATCGTGGGTGGTGTATTTCCTGCAGCTGGTGGTTCTATTTTCTCTCAGCTGTAAGAAGCTAGTGGCCCACACCTTGCTAGAATACCTTGTTCCTCCAGACAGTCCTCTTGGATAGAACTTTAAACAGCTCAAGACTCTGAGTTGCTTGATATGGCATGGCCCAGATCAGATCCAGGGGAATGTGTGCATATCCTCCCTGCTTGTATGTAATGCAGCTCAGCTGTCTCTCAGTTCCACCATTTCAGGGCTGTAGCCTCAGGCTCCCTCTCACCTTTAGGTTCCTCAAGCCCACTGTACCTTCCAAACACCAGAGGACACTATCAATTTCTCCCTGAAGCAACTTTCATGAGGCTTCTCTCTCTCACTGGAGTTGGAGCAGGCTGCGCAGTACACTGATAATGCCCTTCGAATAATTGTCTCTTTGATCTTTAATCTCTGAGTATTTCCAACTTCGACATTTTAAAAATACATTATTTAAAAATAGATAATACGTTGATATGACTATATAGTAAGTAATAGAAAAAGAATGTTATGTAAAGTTGATCTCCCACTCTTGCCAGCTAGTTATCCAGTTTTCATCTGCCAAATAAAGGAAACTAGTTTTATTCATTTCTTTTATATCTTGTAGATTGATTTTCAGTCTATTCAAGCAAATATAAATATGCACATGTATCTTTTTAACCCCTTTTCATAATTGGTAGTATACTATACATACTCTGCACTTTGATTTTTTGAATAATGTATACTAAATGTGTAGTATTCCATTGTAGTGTACCATGCTTTAATTAACCAGTCTCTTAAGAGAATTTAAGTTATTTGCACTTTTTGATATTATTTGCTGCAATAAATAATGCTGAAAATATTTCATTTGTGTTGGAGTATATCTGTAACGTAATTTCATACCAGCAGAATTGCTGGATTAAAAAGTAAACACTTTCGTAATTTTGATACGTATTGCCGAATTGCCTGCCAGAGGAGATGTAACTATTTATTCGCTTGCTATCAATGCTTGGAAAATTCTTGTCTCACCACAACTTTAATACTCAAGTATTTTACTAAACTCCTGGATGTTGCCAATCTGATAGGTCTAAAATGGTATTTCAGTGTTCTTTTAATTTGCATTTTTCTTAGTATGAGTGAGATTGAGCACTTTTTATATGTTTAATAACCATTTTAATTTTCTTTTGTGTGAACTATCTACATACTTTGCCCGTGTTTCTATTAGGTTGTTGGCCTTTTCCTTTTTGATTTTTTTAAAGGAGGCATTACATATCAGGGATATGAGCCATTTGTTTGTGATGTGAGTTACATTTTTTATTTTTGCCATGAGGAATATTTTGATTTTCATGTGTCAAATTTGTCAGTTTCTCTTTTAAGAGCTCTGGATTTTGAGTCATAGTTAGAAAGGCCTTTCTCATTTCTAAGCTTGTAACTAAACAGATTATGTCACATTTTCTTATAATTCTTTTATGGTTTATTCTTTCTTACTAAGTGTCAAAAGGTAGCAAAATAGAAATATAAGGTAGAAATATAATCATATTTGAATCACATTTGATAGGTAGAGAGCGTAGGAATCATTCACTAATTTTTAGTGAGTGTTAAGGGAGAGGGAGATTTCAAGAGTGACTTCCAAGTGTAAGAGGTGTTTATTGATGAAAGACTAAAGCTCAGAATAGAAATCTGGCTAGGATATAAAACTGGGCATTTTCAGCATGTAGATTGTAACTGAAGCTGTGGAAGTGGATAAGTTGATATAGATGAGAGTCTGACTGGATAGCATAAAGCCTTGAGGTATCCCAGTGTTTAATGATCGGTTAAAATAAAGAATCCTACGAAATATACTGAGAAGTAGCCAGAGGAAAGGAAAACTAGGAGAGTATAGGAGAGAATAAAGGAGAAAAGTGTATTAAGAAAGTAAGGGACCAAAATGAGATAAGTGTGGATGAAAAGTCAATTAATATGAAGTCAGAAATTTGCTGTCCTGTTTCCCTGCAATCAGTACATTTTCTTCTGGATTAGTATGTTGTATATGATCTCTCTGACATCCTGAAACTCAGGTTGTACTGAGTCTTCAGGTCTGAGCTGGAGCATGTGAGTGAGACTTGGAGAGTAGAGGGTTAGAGAACAGCACCCCTAAGTTGCCTCCCTCCACCCCCATTGTTCAAACTTACCCTCTTTGAGGTAGAGAAAAGATAAGCTCACGAGGAGCAGTGTGTTCATTTTCCTCATTGGATGCTTGTTCGGGCGACAGAAGGTGTGCTGAGTGAGGTATTGGAAAAGACAGCCACTAGCTTGCTTTATAAAGCTTAGATGTTTGATCACAGCCAGTAAATAGAAAGGAGGGAGGAGTCCCTGATAAAGGCATGAGGCAGAACTGTCCTTTCCCCACTCCTTTCTCTTAGGGAGCCATAAGTCTGTACTAATGTGGAAGGTTCAGGCTGGTGAGCAGTGTCAGGGAATGCTTCTGGCTAAAGTTGAATTAGATTTCCACCCCGACTCTTCATCCTCCCTCTGCCTTCCGTGCCCCGTATCTGTCTTCTCCCCACTTTTTTTTTAAGAGACAGGGTCTCACTCTGTTACCCAAGCTGGAGTGCAGGGGCTCATTGCAGCCTCAAACTTTTGGGGTTAAGCAATCCTCCTGCTTCAACCTCCAGTGTAGCTGGGACTACAGTCTCTACTCACTCTTTTTTCTCTGTGTGTCTGCATGTGTGTGTGAGTGTGATTGCTATGGTTTGAATGTTTGTCCCCTCCAAATCTCATGCTGAAATGTAATCCATAATGTTGGAGATGGGGCACAATGGGAGCTGTTTGGGTCATGGGGGCAGATCCCTCATGAATTGCTTGGTGCCATCCTCATTGTAATGAGTGAGTTCTTGCTCTTGTAGTTCAAGTGAGAGCTGGTTGTTTAAAAAAGTGTGGAACCTCCCCTGCCCTTCTCTCTCTTGTTCCTTTCTCTCTCTTGCTCCCATTCTTGCCATGTAATACACCAACTCCTTTTTTGCCTTTCACCATGATTGCAAACTCCCTGAGGCCCTCACCAGGAGCAGATGCCAGCACCATGCCTCCTGTTCAGCCTGCAGAACTGTGAGCCAATGAAATTTCTCTTCTTTACTAATTACCTAGTAATTAGTCTCTGGTATTTCTTTATAGCAACGCAAAAATTCACTAACAGAAAATCGATACAAGTGGGGTGTTGCTATAAAGATACCTGAAAATGTTGAAGAAGCTTGGGAACTGGGTAATGGTCAGAGGTTGTAAGAGTTTGGAGGGCTTAGGAGACAGGAAAATGGGGGAATGTTGGAATTTCTTAGAGACTTGTTACGTGGTTGTGACCAAAATACTGATAGACATATGGATAGTAAAGGTCAGGCTGAGGAGTCTCAGATAAAAATGAGGAAGCTATTTGGAACTGGAGCAAAGGTCACCTTTGCTATGCCTTAGCAAAGAACTTGGCTGCATTGTGTCCAAGCCCTGGGAATTTGTGGAAGATTGAACTTAAGAATGGTGACCTAGGTTATCTGGCAGAAGAAATTTCTAAGCAGTAAAGTGTTCAGGATGTGATATGGCTGCTTCTAACAGCCCATAATTACGTATGGGAGGAAAGAAATAACTTAAAGTTGGAACTTACATTTAAAAGATAAGTAGAGGCTAGGCGCAGTGGCTCAAGCCTGTAATCCCTGCACTTTGGAGGCCAAGGAGGGCGAATCACAAGGTCAAGAGATTGAGACCATTCTGGTCAATATGGTGAAACCCCGTCTCTACTAAAAATACAAAAATTAGCTGGGTGTGGTGGTGCATGCCCGTAGTCCCAGCTCCTCGGGAGGCTGAAGCAGGAGAATCGCTTGAACCCAGGAGGCGGAGGTTGCAGTGAGCTGAGATCACACCACTGCACTCCAGCCTGGTGACAGAGCGAAACTCAGTCAAAAAAAAAAAGTAGAGCATAAAAATTTGGAAAATTCACATGTGGCAAAGAAGGAATGAATGTTTTCAGGAGAGGAACTGAAGTGGCCTATGGAGGAACTACTCACTAGATATATTTGCATGACTAAAAGGGAGCCAAGAGCTATTATCCAATAATACATTATTACATAATAATACCTTTTATTGGATAATAGCTCTTGGCTAATAAAATCTAAGACAATGGGAAAAAGGCCATGAAGGCATTTTAGAAATCTTCAAGGCAGCTCCTCCTATCACAAGCTCAGAGGCCTAGGAGGAAAGAATGTTTTCAGGGGCCAGGCCCAGGGCCCTTCTGCCCTGTGCAGCCTTGGGACACTGCTCTCACACCCTGGCCACTCCAGCTCCAGCTTCAGCTCAAAGGGGCTCAGGTACAGCTTGGACCATTGCTCTGAAGGGTGCAAGCCATAAGCTTTGGCAGCTTCCACATGGTGCTAAGCCTGCAGGTGTGCAAAATGCAAGATTGAAGGAGGCTTGGCAGCTTCCACCTCAATTTCAGAGGATGTATGGAAAAGCCTGGGTACTCAGGAAGAAGCCTGCTTCAAGGGTACAGCCCCCACAGAGAGGCTCTACTAGGACAGTGCCAAGAGAAAATGTGGTATTGAAGCCCCCACAAGAGTCTCGACTGGGGAGCAGCCTAGTGGAGCTGTGGAAAGGGGCCACCACCCACCAGATCCCGGAATGGTAGAGCCACTGGCAGCTTGCATCTTGAGCCTGGAAAAGCCACAGCTACTCAACTCCAATCTGTGAGAATAGCCACAGAGGCTGCACCCTGCACAACCATAGAGGCAGAGCTTCCCAAAGCCTTGGAAACCCACCTCTCACACCAGCATGCCCAGGATGTGGGACATGGATCCAAGGGAGATTATTCTGGAACTTTAAGATTTAATGACTGCCTTGCTGGATTTCAGACTTGGATGGGCCTCTTGTCCTTTTCTTTTGGCTGATTTTTCCCTTTCGGAATGGGAATGTTTACTCAATGCCTCTACTACCATTGTATCTTGGAAGTAAATAGCTTGTGTTTGATTTTATAAACTCATAGGTTGAAGGAAATTGCTTAGAGAATCAGATGAGACTTTGGACTTTAGATTTTTGAGTGATGCTGGAACAAATTAACACTTTGGGAAACTGTTGGGAATAGATGATTGTATTTTACAATGTGAGAAGGACATGATATTTGAGGGACCAGGGACAGAATGATATGGATGTTTGTCCCTTACAAATCTCATGTTGAAGTATGATTCCTGATGTCAGAGGTGAGGCCTGATAGGAGGCGTTGGGTCATGGGAGAGGATCCCTCATGAATGGCTTGATGTTGACCTTGTGGTAATAAGTGAATTCTTACTCTATGAGTTCATGTGAGGCCCGGTTGTTTAAGAGAGCCTGGAACCTCCCCTCCCTTTCTCCAGCTCCCTCTCTTGCCCTGTGATGTGCTGGCTCCCCCTTTGCCTTCTTCCATGTTGATAAGTTTTCTGAGGCTTCTCCAGAAGTGGATGCTGGCACTGTGTTTCATTACAGCCTGCAGAACCATGAGCCAAAATAAAAGCTCTTTTCTTTATAAATTAACTAGCCTCAGGTATTTATTTATGGCAATGCAAAATGGCCTAATACAGCAATACTATCAGATTTCTGGTTCCCTAGAAATTTCTTATGCATACTAAGTGAAAGAGTGTCTATTCGTCATTAGGAAAATGACTTATAAAATGGGATGACATATGAATCTCAGAATTCAAAGATTTCTAGAGAGTTTTATGTAATATGTAGGTATACTGATACAGCTTACTCCAATACTGAAAAATTTTTCCCCGGTTTAAGGCTTGGGCAAGGGTTGTTTTTTCTTTTTCTTTTTCTTTGAGACAGAGTTTCGCTCTTTTCGCCCAGGCTGGAGTGAAGTGGTGCGATCTTGACTCACTGCAACTTCCACCCACTGGGTTCAAGCGATTTTCCTGCCTCAGCCTCCTCAGTAGCTGGGATTATAGGTGCCTGCCACCACACCCAGCTAATTTTTGTATTGTTAGTACAGACGGGGTTTCATCATGTTGGCCAGGCCTGTCTCGAACACCTGACCTCAGGTGATCCACCCACTTCGGCCTCCCAAAGTGCTAGGATTACAGGCATGAGCCACCATGCCCAGCCAAGGGTTGTTTTTTCTCCTAGGCTTCTAACGTCCAGCATTGTCATCTTCACTCCTTGGAAACCTTGAATATTTCCTATGCCTGGTTGCTGGGAATATCTAGATAGGCTCTTGGAGGTTCCCAGCAAATCTCTTGGAGATTAGAAGTTTAGGGATGCAGGAAGAGATGCAAGAAGGGATTCTCCAGAGATGTTTTGGGTGAGGTCCTTCTTGGGATCTCCACGCATTTTCTGGATATTTTCTTAATGTTAGCTCTTTTTTTTTTTTTTTTCTTTTTTGAGACGGAGTCTCCCTCTGTCGCCCAGGCTGGAGTGCAGTGGCCGGATCTCAGCTCACTGCAAGCTCTGCCTCCCGGGTTCACGCCATTCTCCTGCCTCAGGCTCCCGAGTAGCTGGGACTACAGGCGCCCGCCACCTCGCCCGGCTAGTTTTTTTTTTGTATTTTTTAGTAGAGACGGGGTTTCACCATGTTAGCCAGGATGGTCTCGATCTCCTGACCTTGTGATCCACCTGTCTCGGCCTCCCAAAGTGCTGGGATTACAGGCTTGAGCCACCGCGCCCGGCCAACGTTAGCTCTTTTAGTATTAGAGCTAGAACTATGTCTCAACTATTCTCAGATATGTCTCAAATAATGTCCTTGCTGTTTACTCTTTAGGGAAACAGTCCATTTCTAACCTCATCCCATATCCTTCAATTTTATTTAGAAAAAACCTTCTGGAATAAGATTTCTTTATTTTTGCCCCTTAAACATCTCAGTCTTCTTGGTAAAATGTAATCCTTTCAACTGCTGTCTCCAAGGTCACTCCTACCCGCTCCTCATTCCAGTTGTGGCCATTATCTCATTGTTCTCCTTGCCCAGGTGCCCTTGTCTGTGTGTGGCACCAGCTGGATGAAGCCTTTGACATCTACCCTAGCTAACAGATCTGGATTTCATTTCAAAATAACCATCATTAAGATCTTCCCTGTTTCCACCTCAGCCATGTCCTTCTTCTTGGGTATTTGGTACTTGGCACTTTCTAGGATCTTAATATGAATTACCTACCTTTCCTCCTTTCATATCCTTTGTTTTACAGAAACCCCATGAGATATGTACAATTGTCTCATTTTTGCAGATGAGATAATAAGCTCAGAATGGTTCAGTAACTTACCCAAGGCCACACAGCTAGCAGGTAGCAGA